CACGTGCAAGTGTAGCCCGATGACATAGTGGGGGCTCCTTCAGGGTCAGGGGAATGAGGACCATTCATTGTTACTGTTTTTGACATATCCCTGGCGCTGCACATGGGCCCTGAGTACCTCCAGGAGTGATCCCTGAGCACAGAGCCAGGAGGATGCCCTGAGTACCTCCGAGTATGGCTCATACCCCACCTCATCCCCATAAAAGAAAACAGGTCCAGAAGTAGTCAATTATTTGGGGGGGGGGGGGTGGCAGCAGCAAGGGTTTTGAGCCATACTGAGTGATGCTAGGGCCCTCTTCACCCTCTGTGCTCAGGGGGTCACTCCTGGCAGTGCTTGGGGGGACATTGCAGTTGCAGAGGATTGAACTGGGGTCTGCCACATGGAGTGCTCAGAGATCACTCCTGGCGGGGCTCAGAGAACCATTATGGTCAAACCCAGTTGGGTGCCAAGCAAACACCATACCCCTACACCATGTCCCTGACCCTTCAGCAGTCAGTTCTTAAGGTCCCGGGAAGCCATCACCAACGGTGGAAAGGCAGCGTTAGCAATCATTAGCTTTGGTGGGCGATTTATGCAGGAGGCTGTAGCCTGCTCTCACTGGAGATCGGTAGGTAGCTGAGATCTGGTAAACAGGGAGAATCACTTTTTTTTTTTGCTTTCTGGGGTTACTGAGCGATGCTCAGGGGTTACTCCTGGCACTGCACTCAGAAATTATTTCTGGCTGTGCTCGAGGGACCATATGGGATGCTGGGAATCGAAACCGGGTCGGCCACATGCAAGGCAAATGCCCTACCCACTGTGTTATTGCTCCAGCCCCAGAATCACTTTCTGTAGAACCACAAAACCCGCCCACGTGCTGCTGATATTGGGAGAGGAGCCTGAAACCTTAGAAATGCGAATTTCAGGCAGTTCCACTGTGAGGCACTCACCCTGCGGCACAGTTCTGGTTGTGCGTCAGCAACCTGCACCGAGGACGCAGGAAGAGGACGTCCAGAGTGAGGTGTGCCGAGCAGCTGTTTGTTCAGGAACACCGTGTGAGACAAGTGGTTGGGCCTCTTTCCTGCCCTCCTCACTGACTGGCATGAGTGCCACCTCTGTTCCCGGCCCCTTTGCTCACGGCCCAGGCATTTGCCTATGCAAAGCTGAGAACAGATGCTGGGAGCAGCCTAGGCCAGGGCAGGATGTGTGTAAAGTTTCCTGGTCTGGGGTTCGAGAGGGCTGTCTGAACCTTCTGTGCCCTCTGACCCACTGACTCCAGGAGGAAGTCACACCCCCACTCCATCCCTTAGGGTCCAAATGGGACAAAGTCCAGCTAGCGAGGAGACTGACCTCTGGCCTGGACTGTTCCTTCGTTTTTGTTTTCTCAGTTCTTTGTACTGCAGTGATGCCTTAAATCTATTTATTTTTGGCTTTTCGGGTCACACTGGTGATGCTCAGGGCTCTGCACTCAGAAATTACTCCCGATGTGGCTCAGGGGACCATATGAGATAGATGCTGGGGACGAAACCCAGGTCAGCTGTGTACAAGGCAAACGCCCTCCCCACTGTACTATCAGTACTATCACTCCAGCCCCAGTGATGCCTTTTCAGATCTCAGAATTGCATTTTTGCTTTCAGAGCTTAAATATGACCTGGTCTTCCTCTCATCCAGCTGGAGTGATAGGACAGTAGGTAGGGCACTTGTCTTGCTGACCTGAGTTTGATCCCTGGCACAATATATGGTCCCTTGAATACTGTCAGGTGTGATCCCTAAGTGCAGAGCCAGAAGTAAGCCCTGAGCACTGCTGGTGTGTCCCCAAACATGAAACTTCCCCGCCCCCTCAACCCCCAGAAAAAAAAAAATCTTCCTCCAAAGGTGGAAGACAGGAGCTTCATTTATTTCTTCTTTGCACTGACATCACCAGAGGAATCAATATCAGAAAATGAGTGTCCTATTGAGTTGGGGACTTTTTTGGCCACACCCAGCAGTGCTCAGGGATTACTCCTGGTTCTGTTGGTGCTGGGGATCAAACCCAGGTCAGCTGCATGCCAGGAAAGTGCCCTACCTGCTGTACTAGCTCTCAGTCCTGGAAAGTTGGAATTCTGCAAAGGTCTTTCTATCATCATCCTGGTCTCAGTTTCCTCCTTCCTGGTTTTATTGATTTGTTCATTTTTGCAGGTTTGGTTTCGGTTTCTGGGTCACATCAAGTCATGCTCAGGGGCTACTCCCAGCTCATTGCTTGGGGGATTCTATCTGTGGTGCTCAGGGGACCAAACCTGATCTCCCCTTAGCAAAGCTTGTGTTCGACCCTTCATGCCCTCTGCAGCCCCCTCATTGCTTGGTTGAAGCAGTCTTACCCCAGTGCTCTGGACACTCAGGGTTCCAAAATTGGCTCACTACCATTGTGCATGGAAGAGAGACTCCTGGAGGCAGCTCTGACACCCTCATTCCCTCACGGAAAGAGAGTCCACACACACTTTGAGACCAGGCCCACTCGACTTAGTGGTCACAGAGTTTTTTTTGTTGTTGTTGTTCTTTGGGTCATACACGGCAATGCTCAGGAGTTACTCCTGGCTCTACACTCAGGAATCACTCCTGGTGGTGCTCGGGGGACCATATGGGGTGCTGGGGATTGAACCCGGGTCAGCCGCGTGCAAGGCAAATGCCCTACCTGCTGTGCTATCACTCCAGTCCTGGTCACAGAGATTTTTGGCTGGACAAGCCTGGCGGTAAAGCCGATTCTTTTTTTTTTTTAATTTTTTATTAGTGAATCACCGTGAGTCACAGACTTACAAACTTTCATGCTTGCGCCTCATCATACAATGATCGAGTACCCATCCCTCCACCAGTGCCCACCCTCCACCACCAATGGTCCTAGCATCCCTCCCACCACCCCCACTCTGTCCCCTCCACCCCACCCCGCCTCTGTGTCAGGGCATTCCTTTTTGCGCGCTCTCTCCCTCTCCTTTTGCGTGTTGTGTAAAGCCGATTCTGATACTCACCCTGCCACACTTGGGAAAGCTGCTCAATCTCTTGGCAGAGTGTGTAGTAGTGGCAATTTGAGCTAATGCTCTATTTCCTCAACCGGAAAGGGGGGAATTAAACTTACATAGGCAAGATAGCACACAGGCTTAGTGTCATGCTTTGAGTGTCGAAGACCCAGAAGTACAGCCAGGAGTGAGCCTTGAGCAGCATGCGGCCCCTGAGTACTACCAAGTATGAACCCAAAGTGAAAACTGTAAACACTAGTAATAAGAGGGCACCATGGGCAGATGCAGGACTAGTGTGCCCAGGCCTGGCTTGATTCCCAGCACGACATGGTCCCCCGAGCATCTTCAGGTGCGCCCCTCTGTGGGCTAGTACGCCCGCGCCGCAGGACCTTGCATCCTCAGGTTCTTGCATTAAACTGCCCATCTGGTTAACTGAGAACAGCCTGTGGGGCTCCCTAGGCCTCTTGAGCACAGCTTGGGAACCCCCCCCCCCCAGCAGTGAAAACTGACTTGAACTCATACAGGTTTCCCCTGATATCTGAAAGTTGAAAATCCTTATCGAAACCTCTAACATTTTTGGGGCTGGAGCAATAGCACAGCAGGTAGGGCATTTGCCTTGCTTGCGGCTGACCTGGGTTTCATTCCCAGCATCTCAATGGTCCCCCAAGCACCGCCAGGAGTAATTCCCGAGTGCAGAGACAAGAATAACACCTGAGCATTGCTGGGTGTGGAAGAAGGAGGAGGAGGAGGAGGAGGAGGAGGAGGAGGAGGAGGACAACGACGACGACGACGACGACGACGACGACCTTTAACATTTTTTTCTGTTTTCTTAATTTGGTCCACAACCAGTAGTGCTCAGGGTTTACTCCTGGATCTGTGCTCAGGGATTACTTCTGGCGTGCTTGGGGGATTTTCTGGGATGCCAGGGATCAAACCTGGGTCTGCCACACACAAAATGCCCTATGCGCTGTACTATCTCTTCAGCCCAAAAACCTTTTATAAGTTGAACAAAAAGTGGAGTCAAGGCCAAAGCTCCCAAGCCTGGAGTCCGAGGATCCCCACACAGTACTTAGGTGGCCTGTTCCTCCCCTAGTGGAAAGTGAAGAAGTTGAACCACATTTTTGCTTTTCATCACCAAAGTGCAAAAATGGTTTCCTTTGGTCCGCAACCTGGGCACTGACTGCAAGGCTCCATCCAAGAGAAGTGGCACACACAAACTCTTGGAAAGTGGGGGATGCCTATTCTTAAGTCCTGGGGCCACAGTGAACCTCCAGAGAGGAAAGACCACCTGCCTCATTTGCCTGGGTGCCTCCAGGAACAGTGTTCCAGCAGACTCCCCCTCAAGACTGACTGGTGGGGGCTGGAGCGATAGCACAATGGGTAGGGTGTTTGCCTTGCACACAGCTGACTGGGGTTTGATTCCCAGCATCCCATCTGGTTCCCTCGAGCACCGCCAGGAGTAATTCCTGAGCATCTCCGGGCATGTCCCAAAAAGCAAAAAAAAAAAAAAAAAAAAGAGACTGAATGAATCAGTGCATCGTTCCCAAAGTAAGCTGCCCAACTAAATGCCAAGGTGTAACTTGAGTGTCTACCCTCGGAGCCTGGTGGCCACGTGTCCTACAGCGCCAGAGGCATGAAGATGCCTGAGCACTTGCGCTGGGGGTCTTACCTGCCTATTCGTGTCTTGTCACGAGAACTGGGAAAGGTGTGGCCTGACTGATTGGTCCTGAGGTGTGTTTGCACTGGAGGGTGGAGTGGACACTGCGCAGCCTTTGAGCCCAGCTTTGTGGGCCCGGCTGGGCGTGGAGAAACAGACCATAGCAGCAGCAGCAGCAGCAGTGGAGGGGGAGAAGGGGAGGGGCAGCCAGGGTGTGCCCTGGCAGGACTGGTCAGAGGATGAAGCCCCAGCCGCAGGCCCACCTTCCTGGTGGCCGGGAGATGCAAATGATGGGGACAATAGGACTCCTGTGCCTAGCTCCTCTGTGGCAGAGCATCAGGACACTGAGGACGTTAATTTCCTTCACATCGGCCATGGTAAGACCGGGTTCCGGGGAACCCTGGGGGCTTGTCTGCTGGCAGGGTCCGGGCCTGAGTGCAGCACTGACCCCCCTCAACTCTTTCCAGGACAAGCTCAGCCGAAGCAAGCTCCCGTGAGTACGAGGGGCTCTCCCTGCTTCCCCACTGGGCACTGCCCTCCTCAGAGTCCGCTAGCACTACCGCCACTCCACGATAACATCAGGACTCCCCTGGCCCCTGTGCCACTGCAGCACACCTCCAGGGGGCACCGCTGACACACTCGTGAAGGTGATGGGCTCTGTCAACTCCACACAAACGCAAGGGCTCCGCGGGCAGAGCTGACTCTGGTCTGCTTGCAGGTTGAAGCCTCCCATCCCACCACCACGAGATATAGGTAAGTGGTGCAATCGAATGAGGGGCGCCTGGCAGAATGGGGTCCCCTGAAAGCCTTCCATGAAGGACCCGGGACACCCCCGGCTTCGCATCCATAGTCCAGCTCAGTTAAACCTCTGGGGTCTTGTTCTTCTACCAGAGGTGGGCAGGGCGAGGGGGACATGAGTGTCCCAGGAGGCCCCTCTCAGGGACTGGAGTGATAACACAGCCCATAGAGCATTTGCCTTTCCCGTGAACAACCCGTGTTTGATCCCTGGCATCCCATAAGGTCCCTGAGCACCGCCAGCAGTAATTCCTGAGTGCAGAGCCGGAAGTAACCCCTGAACATTGCCGGGTGTGGCCCCCAAACCAAACCCAAACAAAACCAGAACCTGGCTCCCTGGGCCTGTGCAGTGCTGGAAAGCCCTCCGGAAAAGCAGTTCCTCGTCTTCAGGAACCTGCTAATGCAAAGGGTTGCTTGTTTGGGGAGCGTCAGGCTCAGTGCGCAGGGTGGGATGGGGGAAGATGAGGCATCTCGTGTGCAGACTCCCCGACTTGGAGAGATGTCCCGCACCAGTTTCTGAGGCAGGCCCAGAGCTCCTGGAGGTACAGGGTAAGCCCGCTTCTGGGCTGCCGGGAATGGGGTGGGGGTAGGGCACCTTCAGCCCCCCCCTGCTCTCTCACGCCCCCCTGTGTTCAGTCCTCCTTCCTGCAAGCCCAGCAGAAGGAGGAAGAGGAAGAGGAGGAGGAGGAGGAGGAGGAGGAGGAGGAGGAGGAGGAGGAAGAGGAGGAAGATGAAGAAGAGAATAAATATGAAATGCCCCCCTCTGAGGCTCTGCTCCCCAATCTAGCCCTCGCCCACCTTCAGGGCTCTGAGGAGGACTCCGTGTACTTGGGTAAGGCGGGTGCCATCACAGGGGAAGGGAAGACCCCCCCCCCCACACACACACACACCTCACCCCGTCTGCACTGGGGCCTGGAGGGGAGGGAGAGGAAGAGAGGGAGAAAGATGGAGGGAGGAAGGAGGGGACCCGTCGAGAGGCAGGGGAGGAGGAGAGAGGTGCGGGAGGGGCTGCGGAACCATGGCAACGGGGGAAGCAGGTGCCCGCACGGGGTCCAGGGGGCGCGTGCCCCCTCAGCACGACTCTGAGCAGAGCTGGGGGTGCCAGGAGGGGCCCGACTGCTGCTGCCATCCCACTCCCATCACTCCGCCAGGTGGGGGCAGGGATGCTGGCCGCCTCCGGTTGCCTTGGAGACGGGCTGTGGGGAGGCAGGGGAGCCCGAGGGGAAGCAGGGAGGGCGGAGGAACTGGAGGAACCGAGACTAGGTGAAGGCACAGGAGAAGGGGGGGCCGCTGGGCGGAACCAGTGACCCGTAACGTCCTGTCCCTGGTCTCTTGCAGATCACTCTAGGCCCCTGAGTCCATCCAAGTCAGCCCCAGCACAGCCCCTGCCCGCAGTGGGGGTCCAGCTCCCGCCACACTGCCCGGCCCCAGACTACGTGGTGAGTAAGTGTGACAGGCACCTCATTTGCAGATCCCCCCACTTCAGCCCCCAAGAGGTGTCAGAGGTCTCTGACAGGAGGGCCCCAGCGCCTCCTGGACGCTTCAGCTCTCTCTGAACTCACCCGCCAGCCACAGCAGGGGACGATGGGGGTCTGTATGGGGCGAGGGCTGGGCACACTTCTCTCGACTGCCTCCCTCTTTCCAAGCCCAGGACTCCCTCTGGACTTAGCTGCCCGTCACTGCCAACACTCTCCCCCTGCATGCCCGCTCCTGTTTATTGGTGGTGGGGGAAAGAACAGAGATTCTGAACAAAGAAAGCCTCACACAATAGAGGCGAAGGTGCCCTAACCCATTGTCTGGGGCTGTTCTATCCCACCCTCCACGGGTCCGTCCAGTGCCTCAGCTGTCCAGTGCCAAACACCCCCCCCCCCCACTGCCTCCTTGTCCCCACAGAGGCAGGCGGCAGAGAGCCTGCAGGAGGGCGTGAAGCAAGGGCAGCCCTTTGAGAGACAAGGTAATGAGGTGGTTGGAGTGTCTGGGGCCGCACTCGAGGATGCGGGGAGGGGGATGGGGCTCAGGGGTCCCTTCCAGTGATGCTGGGGCAGACGGGCTGGCGAGGGAGGGGGTGGGGGTGGGGGCATTGCACACACAAAGTTCCCACTCGTGCCCTTTGAAGCGTCCCCCAGCCCCAGGGCTCAGCCTTTATCCTCCCCTCCCTGTTCTGCCAAAGCCTCGCCCCTCCCCCAACAATCCCCCCCTCCCCAGGGCCGGGTGCTCCCTGGCGCTCTGTCCCCTCCTGGACTCGCCCGTTGTTCCTGCATTAGGGACCCAGCCCCTGAGCTGAGCTTTCAGCAGAGACAGGAGTGTGACGCGGCCTGAGATGACACAGAAGCAGATGGTGGCCACTAGGGCCTGCTGCAGCCTTGGGGTCAGGCGGGGACACCAGGCAGAGCAGGTCTACGGGCGGCCTGGGAAGGGCTGCTCCAGAGTGTCCTGGAAACGGCGGGCGTGCCCTGAGCAAAGAGGACCTTTGCTTGTCCTTACCGTCCAGACTTCCCAGACCCTGCCCGGTCCCAGGAGGGGCGGCCTCTGGGTGGCCGCTGACGTCCTGTCCTCTCTTCACATACACACGTGCCACCACAGCTCAGCTTGTGGCTGCAGCCTGGCTTTGGTTCTGGAGTGCCAGGAAGCAGATGGGGGGTGAGGCTGGCTCTCTCTGAGTTGCCAGCCCCTGGCCCCCCAGCCCTGCCCTCCTGCCTGCAATCCCACACTCATCTCCTTTTCCTTCTAGGGATGGGGGCGCCACCCAAAGCGGTGAGTGCCCTGGCCCTGCCCACAGCGCACTCCGGGGTTCTGGCAGGACGACTGATGGGGGGGTGCTGGGAGGCCGAGCCACACCCCCAAAGTGGGCTGGAGCGATAGCACAGCGGGTAGGGTGTTTGCCTTGCAGGCAACCAACCTGGGTTTGATGGTTTGATTCCCAGCATCCCGTATGGTCCCCTGAGCACTCACTGCCAGGAGTAATTCCTGAGTGCAGAGCCAGGAGTAACCCCTGAGCATAGCCAGGTGTGACCCAAAAAGCAAAAAAAAAAAAAAAAAGAAAGAAAGAAAAAGAAAAAAAAAGAAAAAACACCCCCAAAGCTGGGCGAAATGGCCCAGAACCAAGCCTCTGGCCCTGGTAGAGTGCTGGCCAATGGTCCTGCTGTCAGTGAAACCCCGAGTGCCTACTGAGCACCCTCATGCTGAAGGGTTCTCTGACACAGCTGGAGTCAGGCAAAGGTGGGGGTCCCCCTTCCTTGCCAAGAGGGAGGTGTGAGGAGCCCCCAGTTATGCCTCTGCCGTCCTCCTAAACTGCCCAAACTCCTGCTCCCCCACACACCTTCCCTTAGGAGCCAGAGCCTCCCGAGAGCCCCAAAGAGGATAACATCTACCTGGAGTGCTCGGTCAGCCCAGGTGAGCACCGCCTCCTCACCCTCGGGCTCAGGGACACCCCCCCCCGGACATGTGCAACAAGCTGGGGACATCTTCCCTGGGGGAGCCAGGCTGTAGCACCCCTCACCCCCACCCCGCCCCTGCGGCCATCCAAGCCACTCCTGGGTCCTGGGCTGCAGGACAGACAGACCAACCTGCCGCTCAACTCTGTTCCCTCTGAATTCCAGTCCCGGCCCTGACTCGGACCCTGAGCGTCCAGCAACTCACGCCCCCGACCCCGAGGCCAAGGACTTCAGGGGTGTCCAGGTGTGTGCCCAGATGGTGCAGCAGATTGTGCGTGAGAGACAAGAGACAGAGAGACATAGATCTAGAGGAGAGACAGAGAGACGGACAGTGACAGAGACAGTCAGAGAGACAGAGAGACAGAGATGCAGACAGAGCAATGGCTGACGCGGGCCCTCCCAGGTGCCCTGGACTCTCCTGAAGGAGGTAAAGCCCCTGAGTCCTGTTTCCCACTTGCTCCCCACAGGCCCGCAGCTGCGCCCCAGGAGGCTGGGAATGTAAGAGCTGGTGGTTGGGGCACAGGAGCAGAGGGGAGTGGGGAGCCCAGGATGGGGCCCTGACCAGCAGGAAACCCCCCCATCCCATCCCTACCCACCCACCATGCGCCTCTCAGGAAGCCCCTGCACCTGGCATGACCACATATGGGCTGGGCTGTGGCTGACAGGTCTGAGGAAGGCAAACCCTGACATGCATGATGGCCAGTGGAGGCTCAGCCCAGTGCTGAGCTCTATGTGTGTGTGTGTGTGTGTGTGTACAGGACTGCGGTCTGCTGGGCCACCAGCCATGGTTCTCAGGGAACCTGGACCGTCAAGCTGTGGAGACAGCCCTGCTCCAATTTGGAAAGGTGGGTAGCAGGGACCCCTCTGAGGGTCTCAAAAGCCCCTTCTTGCTCCTAGAGTCGGGGAGCCCCAGAGCAGGGGAGCGGGGGTCCAGTCTGAGAGGCGCTCTGGAGGACGAGGCTCAGGAATGGCTCCTCTCCCACAGGATGGTGCCTACACCGTGCGCCCCAGCTCAGACCCCCAGAGCTTGCAGCCCTTCACCCTGGCTGTCCTGCTCCATGGCCACGTCTTCAACATCCCCATTAGGCGGCTGCACGGGGGCCGCCACTATGTCCTGGGCCGCAAGAACCAGAAGGAGGTGGGCGCTGGTGGGGAGAGGAGAAAGAAGGTCGTGGGCGTGGGCGGGAGAGGGGCGCCGCAGCACTACCCTGAGCCCAGCCGGGACATGGGATGCGAGGAGGGGGAGTCCAGCTTTTGGTCTTTTTTCCTGGAGCGGGTGGCATTGGCTGTCCGGGTCCCAGAAGCCTGCACCGTGAGAAAGGCTTCCCGCTGGGGGACCGGTACCTGGGTGCGGGGGGGGGGGGGGGGTAGCCTCCCTCCCAATCTTCAGTCTCCGCCCTGGAAGACCAGGCAGAGGCACAGCCCCCCCGTTATTCCCTCCTTTATCGGAATACCCAGAAACTGGGCTTGCAGCATCGTTTCAGCGCCACAAGGCTGGGTGGGAGTCAGAAGGGGAGTTGCAGGGGGCAAACTGGAGTGGGGAAGGTCAGCGAGGTCCCAGAGCACAAGAGCTCCTTCTAGAAGCGTCTCCCGGCGAGAGGCTGGGGGGTCGGAGGGGGGTGGGCTCACCGGTGCCCGCCCCCGTCTCCGCCTCCCCCAGCTCTTCCCCTCCGTGGGCGCCATGGTCCAGCACTACACGCAGCACCCGCTGCCCCTGGTGGACAGACACAGCGGCAGCTGCCAGCTCACCTGCCTGCGCTTCCCCATCGGCTCCTGAGCCCCAGCGATGCTCACCCCGCCTCTGGCCCCGCTCCTGGCTCTGGCTCTGCCAGCCCAGCCCCGCACCCCCACCCCCAGCCCTCCGCGCGGGGCCTGCAGACCCGCAGGAGCGCCGCCGAGAAGGAAGCTGCGCTCCCGAGGCCGGACGGCAGGGGGCGCGCCGCCCGGGCCCGGCCCCAGGAGCGCCGCGTGCATCCCCGCGGCCCGCGCCTCCCGCGCCGCCTGCAGCACCCTCTGTGCCTCCCCGGGTAGAAGCCGGTCGCCCTGCCGCTGGGGTCCCTTTCAATAAATACTTGCTTAGTGGCTTCCCGACTCTGCCGAGCACGGAGGACGTGGGATCCGGGAGGCTCCGCCGGTGTGGCCGGCACCCGGGAACCCGACCCCAATCTGCAGCGGCCAATCTGGGCGTTCACCCTTCCAGGGCAGGGGGTGGCTGGTTCAGGTCCCCAGCTGCGGTCACCGCAACCCAGCCGTGCAAGGGGGTCGCTTGATGGCGCAGGAGGGGGCTATGTGAGGATCAAACCGGGCCAGCAGCCTTGCAAGGACACCGACGCCTTCAGCCCCCTCTCTCTGACCCTGGTTCTCTTTTTTTTCTGGGGACCCGGGAGGTCAGGCTGACGCCCCAGTAAGTGGTGAGAATGAAACGGATTAAGCTCTGCTCCCCCACTTACTCCGTTTACCATACAGCGGCCCACGAGGGCCGCCCAGCCCCGCGGGGCCCAGGGGCCCCCACTGTGCTGTCGCTCCAGCAACCTGGGGGGTGGTCTCCCCCGGAAGCTGGAGGCGCCACGCGGGGAATAGAAAGCTCTGGAAGGCTCGTGGGGGGTTCCAAGAAGACTAGCAGCGGCGGGGTCAGCGCGGCCCGGCAGGCCCGGCCGAGGCTCCCGCGCGGGGGCTGCAGAGGGAGGCCTCGGGCCTGGCGGGGCGCCCGGAACACCCCGTGCCTGAAAGCCATGTGACCGTGACTCCGCAGAAGCCCGAGCGAGCGCCCCGAGACAAAGGCCGGCGCTGCTGCCCCCGCCCGAGACCTCCCTCCCCCACCGGACACTGCTCCGGGGAGACCCCGGGTGGGCCGGCCCGGGTGGGCCTCCCGGCCCAGCGCTGGCTGACAGCCTTCTCCCGACCTTAATTACTGTAATAGAGGCGCTGCCAAGCCGCCGTCACTCGAGGCTTGGGGCGAGGCTTTCCTTGGGAACTGGGAGGGCCCTGCCTCCTCGCTCCTCTCCTCGCGCCCAAATAAGCTCGCCTGTGGATTCGCTTCAGTGAACTGGCACTTTCCAGCCCCAGGGGAGACGTGGTCTCTGGCCAGGGCTGCAGGAAGAGGCCGCAGGACGGGGCAGCTGGCCCTGGACACAGCCGCAGCACACAAGCCAGGGGCGAGGAGCCCCCACTTGGCCCTCTGGGCTCAGGCAGCCAGCTCCGGACGGAGGTCTTTCTCCTCCCCGCTGCCCAGCCTGACTCGGACACTGCAGAGGGTGGGCAGCCCCCTTTGGGGTGGACCTCAGGGTCCAAGCGGACTCCCTGCCCGCGCCAGCAGGCGTGCAGGTTTGGCGTCTCTTGAGGAGCCCTCCTCCCAGCCGGGAATTCTGCCAGGGGCCTGTGGGGGCTGCAGAGCGAACGGTCACAGAGTAGTTCATGCAGGGGGCAGGCTTTAAGGAAAGGCCTCTGTCCCTCCCTGGGGAAAGTGGAGGAGGAAGGCTGAAAGAGCTCGCTGTGGAGAGCAACGAAGCCTACTGCCTCTTCATTCTGCAGGTCTGTGCTTAGATGACCCCTTTTCCAGGAAGCCTTCCCTGCTTACCCAGCCCTGGGCTCAGATACTTAGGACAACTTCTAGCAAGTTCCCTTTAATGCCCCAGAAGGACTTACTGCTACTTTGTCATCCATCTAGTAAGTAAGTAAAGTAAAGTAAAGGCCCTCCCGTTGATCATCGATTTGCTCAAGCGGGCCCAGTAACGTCTCCACTAGAGACTTTGTTGTTACTGTGTTTGGCATATCGAATACGTCACGTCACGGGGAGCTTGCCTGGCTCTGCCGTGCAGGCGAGATACTCTCGGTAGCTTGCCAAGCTCTCCGAGAGGGGCAGAGGAATCGAACTCGGGTCGGCCATGTTGGCTGCGTGCAAGGCAAACGCCCTACCGCTGTGCTATCGCTCCAGCCCTATCATCCATCTAATCTACCCTGAAGTCCTCCTCCTACAGGCTGATACGATAACATTTTTTGATCAGGGCTTCCTTTGTAAGCATCAAGCCAGTTCGGAGCAGTGGAACATTCTGTGATGATAGGAATATTCATTATCTGCATTGTTCTGTACCAATGCTGCTGACCCTGGAGGGTCACTGAGCACTTGAAAAGTGACTACTAGCTCAGCTGAGGAATGAGGGGTTTTGTTCTTGTTTTGGGGGTTGGTTTGTTTATTTGGGGGCCACACCGGGCAATGCTCAGGGATAACTCCTGGCAGTGCTTGCAGGGCCAGGTAGGAATGCTGGGGATGGAACCCAGATTGGCTTCATACAAGGAGAAAGCCCTGCCCTCTGTCTCTGGGCCCAGGAATGGAGCTGTAAATTCACGGTCTCCTTTAAAGAGATGCATACTATTCTATTGTCCCAAGTCTCTTGCTTCCAAGGATGAGAGACAGATGAGAGACAGATGGACAGATGAGAGGTCAGAGAGCTGGAGAAATTGGGGGCTAGGACTGGAGGCCCCTGGCATGCTAGAAGCAGGCGTGGAGGGGATGTGTGTGTGTGTGGGGGGGGGTGTTGAATCTCTGGACTGCCCTAAAGCAGCAAGGACAGGGAAGGCCACAGATATTTCTGGAATTCAAGGGAGTAATGATGCCCTTTGGTTCTTTTCACCATGCCCTTGCTCCAACTGGGTGTCAAGTTATGAGAAAGCCCTTTGGAACCTGCCTCGCCAAGAGTACTCCGCCTGTCTCCATTGGCCTGGAAAGTTCTGTGCTACAGAGGGTGCCAAGACGTCTGCTGCAGGGAGAAGAGAGCCAATGGTTCAGACACATTGCCGAGGTGACCTACACTTTTTTTTTCCTGCTTGGGTCACACCTGGCGATGCACAGGGATTACTCCTGACTCTGCACTCAGGAATTACTCTTGGAGATATTCAGGGAACCATATGGGATTCTGGGAATCGAACCCGGGACGGCCGAGTGCAAGGCAAACGCCTTACCTACTGTGCTATCGCTCAAGCCCCCTGTGACCTGCACTTCTGTCTCCCTCACTTTTGAAATGGTTCTCTGAGCATCGCCAGAGTGCAGAGCCAGGAACAAGCCCTGAACACTGCCAGGTGCAGCCACAAAACAGAAACAAGTAAACAAAAAGAATGTCTTGGTGAGGCTAGAGTGATGCCACAATGGATAGGACAGTTGCCTTGCATGCAGCTGACCAGGTTCGATCTCTGGTATCCCATACAGTTCTCTGAGTCCGCCAGCGTGATCCCTGTGCACAGAGCCAGGAATAAGTCCTGCACATTGGCAAAGCTCAAAAAAAAAAAAAAGAAAGAAAAAGTGTATCGAGTGCATACTACATGCTATGCACCAAGCTGGCCATCAGGTTTGGCCCAAACGGCACCACCTACAACAGTTTTTCCCCAAGACAGGGACCCGCATACCCCCATCACCCCATATCCTCCTCCTGGGCCCAGTACGAGGGATGCCGGCCACCCCCTTCCATAGCTGGCTCTGGAGAGAATGGTACCAATCCAGGCCCAGGGCCCCTGACATTTCCTGCCCACGCTCACTCAGAGTCTGCCCCCATGCAAACCCTCCTGGCTGTGGGGAGCAGTTTTGACGATACTGGGGCTGTCTGACTTAAATTCTCCCAGAAGTTGTCCTTTCTTCCCTCTGCCAAACCGTGGAGGTGGGAGAGTGGGATTTCAGGGTCAGACTTTCACAGGCCTCAAGACCCCCAGCAACATGATGGTGACTTCACTGGCCGGTAACGAAAAAGGAGCAAAGCGGGTGGCCGGCCTTTTGGAAAACAGTATGGACGATTCTCAAAAAATTAGAAATTGAGCTCCCATTTGACCCAGCAACACCACTCCTGGAAGTATACCCCGGAGAGGCAAAAAAGTATAGTTGTAGTGACATCTGCACTTGTTTGTTCATTGCAACACTGTTTACGATGGCTAGAATTGGGGAAAAAACCTGAGTGCCCGAGAACAGATGACTGGTTAAAGAAACCTTGGTACATCTACACAATGGAGTACTATGTAGCTGTTAGAAAGGATGAAGTCATGAAATTTACATACAAGTGGTACTACATGGAAAGTACCACGCTAAGCGAGATGAATCAGAAAGAGAGGGACAGACATAGAAAGATTGCATTCATCTGGGGAACATAAAGTAACAAAATAGGAGACTAACACCCAAGAATAGCCGAGATAAATACCAGGAGGTTTACTCCATGGCTTGGAGGCCAGCCACACACTCTAGGGGTAAAGGCAGCTCAGATAGAGAAGGGAGCACCAAATAAAGGGTATTGGGAGGATCCTCCCAGGACGGGAGAAGCATGCTGAAAGTAGACTATAGACCGAACATGATTGCCACTCAATGCCTCTTTTGCAAACCACAGCACCTGAAAGGAGAGGTGAGGGGTGACTCTCATTGCACGCCTGCCTTGCACAAATGCCTATTCAGCAGTCACATTCACTTTGGCATCCCAAGAACATCCAGAGACAGACGGGTCGAGATGCCCATGGATATCGCAGAGGCTATTAACTCTAGATAGTGGTGTGGGCTCAAAATCACAAACAAGGAGTGGGTCGGTGAGTCACTCTCAGCCAGAGATGAAACAATCAGGAGACAACAGGTCTCCCCATGGCCCTGCTGCACAACTTTTCTCTTTTCACTAAGCATCACCTTTTTGTTTTTCCTATTTGGGTCACACCTGGCACATTGCATGGGGGTTACTCCTGGCTCATGCACTCAGGAGTTACTTCTGGCGGTGCTTGGGGGACCATATGGAATGCTGGGACTCGAGCCTGGGT